TTATTATGTATAATGACTAAGTTAAAAATTTTTTTTTTTTTTTCCACCAATTTTTCACTTGGCATTCAATTGGCGTAGCTATTAAGGTTTTTTTTTGCTCATTAACCGCAGTTTATCATCTAAACATTGTTTATGCATATTATGATGAAATTAGTACAACTTTTTATTTTACTGCGTGTGATAAATAATAATAATTTTAAATTAATAATAATAAAAAAAAAAAAAAATTTTTTTAAATTTCTCTTTTTCTCAGTACCTTCTCAAGAAATTCTCAATCAAGAAAAATCTTCAATGTTTATTTTTTTGTCAATCTTGGCAATAATAATAAACCCTTGGCAAATCATAATAATGAATTAAATCTTCACGTAAAAAATGTATCGTAATTGTAATTTGCCAAGATTTTCTTGAGTACAAGGAAAAGAAGGAATTTAATAAATGTATTATAATTTATTCTCGCCAAGATTTTCTTAAATGCAAGAACAAGAAGGAATTTAATAAATGTATTATAATTTATTCTCGCCAAGATTTTCTTGAATGCAAGAACAAGAAGGAATTTAATAAATGTATTGTAATTTATTCTCGTTACCAAGATTTTCTTAAATGCAAGAACAAGAAGGAATTTAATAAATGTATCGTAAATTTTATTCTCGTTAACCCTACCAAGATTTTCTTAGGTGCAAGAACAAGAAGGAATTTAATAAATGTATCGTAATTTATTCTCGTTAACCTTGCCAAGATTTTCTTAGGTACAAGAATAGAAGGAATTTAATTAAAATATAACCTTTAATATAACCTTTAATATTTTTATAGACTTTTTTTGTAAACTTTTTTATAAACTTTTTTAATTTCTTTCCTTCTCTTCCAAATCCCCCCTCAAAAAAATAAAATAAAAAATAAATTTATAAAATCGGTATGTTCAATAGAAAAAAATGTCAATCATACAAAATAATACAAATAATAGCATTCATTTTTAATCCTTTATCCATTGTTTTAAATTTTGTTTATTCTTATTTTCTTACCGAACGTGTATATATAAAGTAAGTGGCTTTAAAATTAAAAGCCACAATATTCACAATATATCATTCAAATATTGTTAACTTTTTAATATGCATTATTGAAATCGACAAATATAACGCACGTACAATATGTACCTTCGATCTCTATGTGAGAATATTTATTAAGTAATAGATAATATTTATGTTATTGATTTGTTAGTGATGCCCCTTTTTAGTTTTACTCAAAACAAAAACATTTCATTTTCTTAGATGGCGTGCAAAAAAAAAAAACCTGTTTTACCAATCACAAGTCGACAGTTGGACATTTGGAAAGTAAACCAGTTGTAAAGTAAGACAGTTGAAAAGTAAAACAGTTGAAAAGTAAGACAGTTGAAAAATAAGACAGTTGAAAAGTAAGAGTCGTTGAACAGTTGGATAGTTGAACAGTTGAAGTTGGACAAAATTATTAAAAAAAAATTTTTTTTTTTGATCATCATACCACATCTTTAAAAAAAGTTTCTACCTTCTTAATAAAAGCATTCTTAAAAAGCATGCTTTCAATATACAGCCAATATATTCTTTTAATATGCTTCCAACTTTCTAAAACACTTTCTTATAAATTTCTTATAATGACCTCTTTATTCTCCTAAAGAATGATTTCTTTTGTTTCGCTAATTTGGTTTGAAGAAAAAAAAAAAAAAAAAAAAAAAAAAAAAATTTTTTTTTTAATCCCTTTAAATAAATAAATAAATAAATAAATTTCTTTTTCTTTGTTATGACTTTCTATAGTAAAATAATCAATGAGGCGAATCATTCATTTCATTGATTGATCAATGAGAAAACTCCGGTAAGACTCCGAGCAGATCATTTATTTATTCATTTGTGATCATGTGCATTTCTGTATTTCCATTTCAATAGTAATAAGTGTGAAAAATTATTGATTGATTGATTGACAATAATGGTATTATAAAAACAACGCGTTATTTAATAGTAATAGTAATAACCGAAAATTTTTTTTTTTATATAAAAAATTACGTTATATTAGTTTTATTTTTACTCCCTAAAATAGGTTACGCCTTCCTAAGAAAATAATAATTAGTGGAATTCCTTTTTGTGTGATCTTGAATGTTTGAATGAATATCCAAAAACATTAACAAATAAAGTAATGTAACAAAGTAATCCAAATTCATTCGAATTGAAGAAGTTCTTTTAATATAAATAAATGACATTTATTATAATATAATAATAAATGCGAATATGCGGAATATGCGATAATATAATAAATACGTTATAATAAATGCGTTATAATAAATGCGTTATAATAATGCGTTATATTATATGTTATAAATGAAATAATATAATAAATAATAAATGCAATGAATGCGTTATATTATATGTTATAAATGAAAATGAAAAAAAGCGTTGAATTAAATAAATGAAATAATAAATATATCACAAATATGCAAATATATTATACTATACACAGTAAGTTTTTTTTTGTACAGAACCAATCGTTAGCATTTATTCACAATTATTCCTTATCGAGTAAACTAGTAAAATAAAGATATAAATTATCTTATTATCAATTGAACATAAAAACTGTTATAATAATTAAATCATTTATTTAATCTTACACGAAAGTATGAATCATGAGATATCTTCAATCTTTTTCCCTTTTTTAATAATAATTAAACTTTAAAAAAAAAAAAAAAATGAGATGAAATGAGATGAAAATGAAAATGAGAAAAAACATAGCCACATAAAATAATAACATAATCAAACCACTCATGGGCCCTTTTTTTTTTCTTTGTTTAAATTAATCCAATCCATTGTACCATAAGTTATGTAAACAAGTTCGTTTTAAGTAAATTTTTTTTATCCGGTTATTTACCCTTTTATAAACTCTTTACATCAATATTGTTTGAACTCTTTTACATTAATTTGTTGAAAATAAATATTAATAAATAAATATTAATGCAATGTAATGTGGTGTACCTTCTTATATCCGAAATTTTTTTTAAATTGTTAATCGCGTATTATTATTGGAAAATTCGTCCTAGTTTTGGTGTGTATTATCTTTTCTCGTTTCATTTTTTTTTTTTATACATTAATCAATTACTTCATTTATTTTCTCCTTATCCAAATGGTTTCTAATGGTAAAATGGTTACCTTGCTCCTAAATCTCCTAAATCAAATATGGTATCAACCAACACCAATCAAAATACAATCATAATCATTATTATAATATTTTTGTGATATTAATAATAATATATTAATCATGATATATATGCATTGTATTGTATTCATTATATATATGCACATATCATATAAAATGTAAAGGATCGATCATTTTAAATTGATTTAGGTGATTATTACAAAATCGTTTTAAAAAAAAATAATATATATAATATAAAACGCGTTTAATAATTAATTGTGTGGCGTGGTCAATGTGGTTAATCAATTCAACATTTAACCGCATTTACTACGCCATAAATAATACGCCATAAATTAGCAGCCACAATTTATAACTTTCATTGCCCTTTTTAGCAGGAATTATAAGAATTTAAGAATTATGTAAAGTAAGCTGTTTATATAAGTTTGTGGTACAACGTGATGTTGAATTTGATGGACGTTACAAATTATTACGTAACGATTAACAACGAAACAAAACATATTTTACAAATTTAAAGAAGAAAAAATAATTTTTTTTCCTTGTTTTTTTTCAACTCCAGGTCGGCTTAGCGTTTCGAAAACCAAACTTGGTACCGTGATAAAAAAATTATTTGTGATATGATATAAATTTTATATCCCAAACGAAAAAAATGAATTTCACAAATTTGGTAAAAAAAATACACAAAAATAAAAATAGATTTTTTAATTTTTTAATATATTAACCAATTAAAATTAATAAAGTTACATATAAATAATAAAAAAAAGTAATGATCTTCTATTTGTTTTGTTTTTTTTTTTTTAAAACTTCATATAAGAAGAATAAACAATATCCCTTTATAAAACTTTAATTTAACAGCCGATATAATGAACAATAGTTTACATCAATTTTTAATTTAAAAAAAGTTTTTAACGTCGGCAATTTACGATCAAGCACAAACAATCATTTTTCACTCCGTCAACAATCATCTGAAACATATTTACTAACGTGATGTAATACTATACCGAGTTAAAAAGACGTAAGAAATAGTAATCAAATAAATGACGTAAAAATATAAAATTTCTAATCAATTTTCGGATGGGAAAGAAATTATTAATCAAAGTATACATGACATAACATAACCTAGTCGGATAAATTTAGATTTCAAATTCAAAATTTGTTTTTTTTTTTTAAAAGTTTCAAAGTTAAATTAAGTAAATAAAGTTGCATAAATTCTAGATTATGAAACTTAATAATATTTGTTATGTATTTAATAATGGCAGCTATATAATGACGACTATAATTAGTAAACCTGTATTAGGAATATCATAATGACGAAATTATGAAAGACGAGGAAGGTTTTACGAAAAGAAGCTTTTAAGAAAAGAAGGTTAAATAAGTTAATTTACGTTAATTTACGAAAAGGTTAATTTACGTTAAATTACGAAAGAAGGATAAGTTACGTTAAATTACGAAAAGAAGGTTAAGTTACGTAAAGGTTAATTTACAAAATTACGAAACTAATAAAATTTTATTACGAGACTTACGAGACTTACGAGACTACATTAAACTTTATTATATAATTTTATTACGAAACTATATATCATATATCTTGATCTAGTCATTCTTTTATAATATTTTAATAAACATCTTTACAATAAAATACATTTTATTGCATTATTGTATTATTGCATAACCATCTTTGCAACAAAATACATTATTACATAAACGCCTTTGCAACAAAATACATACATTAAACGCCTTTGCAACAAAATACATTAAACGCCTTTGCAACAAAATACATTAAACGCCTTTGCAACAAAATACATTAAACGCCTTTGCAACAAAATACTTTATTTCATAAACATCTTTGCAGTAAAATACATTTTATTGCATTGCATTATTGCGTATAACAAATACACAAACCAACACAAACACACTACTAATCCCCTTCCCAAAGTTTTAAATGTGATAAAATATAACTTATCTTCGATCTCATTTAGATGGTGACATAAATAATACGAACCTGAGTTGAGTGAATTCATTATTTACAAATAATAATATAAGACAAAGACATTCAAGTATAAAGAAAAATAGGAAACAAAACATTTATTCGTTAATCATAGTTAATCATTTCCTGCATGATGGTTACAATCGACGGGAAGTAAATATAAGTAAATATTAAAAGTAAATAGTAAATAGTGGTAATTAAAATTAAAATTTTTTTGTTTTAGGAGAAAAAAAATTGTTTCAAGTAAATAAATGTTTCTTCTTCTTCTTCATTTACTTCGTCTTCTTACTGCTTCCTTTTTTTCCTTTGTCTTGATTAATAATGATTTAATTGGTTTCCATTAAAATATTTGGTTTGCTATTTGCTATGCATAAAATTCATCCGTAACGTTTTATCGTTTCATAATAATAATTCAAAACTTTAATTAAACACAAAAAAAAAAAAAACTTTTTTTTTTTTTAAAAA